TAGGGCTCGCCGATCGAAAGGTCGGCGGTTCGAATCCCCGCGGCGGGGTGCGCTCCCGTCGTTCGGTCCCAGCGCCTGCCAACCTAGCAGTTCGAAAGCACCCCCGGGTGCAAGTAGATAAATAGGGACCGCTTACCAGCGGGAAGGTAAACGGCGTTCCGTGTGCTGCGCTGGCTCGCCAGATGCAGCTTGTCACGCTGGCCACGTGACCCGGAAGTGTCTGCGGACAGCGCTGGCTCCCGGCCTCTAGAGTGAGATGAGCACACAGCCCTAGAGTCTGTCAAGACTGGCCCGTGCGGGCAGGGGTACCTTTACCTTTACCTAATGGAGGAGAGTCCACCAGGTTCCCAGGCAGCTTGTTTCACCAGACCAGCCTTGGCCAACCTACTGCTTTCCAGATGCTTTTGACTACAACTCCCATCAGCCCAGCCAGCATGCCCTTTAGAGAAGGTCCACTGCTTTGTGTTAACACCGGTAGAAAGAGGTCCGCTGAGAGACAAGGGCTGTGGGTACCACGAAGAGCTGCAGCAACAGAAGTCAGATTGAAAGTAATGGATCTAAGTTAACCATGTCCATTCAGTAGGTCTACTCTGAGTTCGACTAACATTGGGTGCAAACCATGGTTTTTATCTTTAAAAATATATTAGCCTTTGCTATAACAAAATGGTGCGAATCCCGAAATAAATGGGTTTAACATCGGGGCAGCAGAACCAAACACCGTCTTATTCCTGCAGTCATGATGGTGAATGAGTTTAAAATGCAATATTGCACATGCTCCAAGAGTATTTCTTTTTATTTTCATCAGGGTTGGCAAACTGCTTTGGGACGCATCTCTCTCTCTCTCTCTGTGTGTGTGTGTGTGTGTGTGAGAGAGAGAGAGATAAGGGGAACCACAGGCCTGAGGACCAAATCTGGCCCTCCCGGCTTCTCTATAGGCCTTCAGCACTCTCCACAGCCATAACCAAACCCCTCACTGGCCCTGAGTGGTTTTGCCTAACTAGGTAGACTGTGTCATTGAGCTCTGCTAATACCTCTTGTTTGCCTGAATGGAGGGAGTGAAAATCTCTGTAGGAATCAGCGTTCTCCACAAAGGTAAAATTTACATCCGTTACTCCACCCACTTTTACCTCTGGCCCCACCTGCCACTTGTATATGGCCTCCCAGAAGGTTGTTTAGAGCACAATGTGGCCCTTGAACTAAAAAAAGGTTCCCCACTCCTGCTCTAACCTATCAGGAAAGTAAAAGCAGGCATAAAGTTTGGAATGGCAGCAGGGTGGCAAGAGAAGTGTTTCTTATGTGCATCTCACAACTAATACACCCAGCTGTCTGAAGGAGGCACCATCAGGTTGTTAAGACCAGGGTCCAAACTTTCCTGGCTGCACTCCTAGCTGCAGCACATAGCTAAAGGCAGAACCATGGGGGCAAGTCACCCTAGTATGGAGACACGGCGCTTGCATGCTGAGCCGCCTAGCTGGGCGGATCCTTGCTCCGCTTGTGTATTGTCTGCAGGGCAGCTTGGAATCTCTCCCAGTGCTGGCCGGGAGATGAAAGCAGAGGAATAATCCCTGCAATGAGATTATTAGATTGAAGGTTTAATCCCTGAACCTGCCTGTACATGAAAACAGCCTCTCTCCTGCTGAATTTGGCTTCCGGAGACTGAGTTATACAGAGAAGGAAGCCATCCTTTGGTCTGCAGAATGGTAGGGCAACTCTCACACTCTGGCTTATTCCCATTTTGGCTAAGGCTGGTCCAATAATACTTCGGCAGGTACAGGAGGGCTGGGTGGCTGCACCACCAGTGGATGTGAACTGTGCTTTATAATGTAGGTTGGAAGTAGAGCGCGTCCTTGAAGGCCAGCAGGCCCAGTGGTATCAGCACCTAAAAGGGTTGCAGCTGAGGACGATACCTGGCTGAGTCAGTCCAAGGAGAGTTGCTGCTGCTCCGAGTAAACCAGCCTTCGCTAGCTTAGTGCCTTCCAGATGTTTTGGACTACAACTCCCATCATCCCTCGCCAGCAACAGTCAGGGATGTGCTTGATACGGAGGGGGCCTCTTGGTTGCTCCACTGTCCTCAGAATCTCAAGGGCTGGTGGCCCATGAGAGGACATCCTCTGTGCCACCCTGTTAGTTGTGCAATGCTCTCCCCTCAGAGGTGCATCGGGTGCCTTCAAAGTACAGCTTTTGTCAACAGCTGAAAACAAACCTCTTTCTGCTGGCCTTTCCCACTAGAGAGGCGTATTTTTAAGACCCACCCTGTTCTTATTCTGATTTGTTTCAAACTGTTTTTAATACTGCATTTTTATTTGTTGCGACCTGTCGCGGGACCTCGGCGTGAATGGTGCGTAATAAATCAAAGTAATAATAATAAATACATCTAGAGTGGGGGTTCCCAAAGTGAACAATATTTGCATTCCCAGGGAGCGGTGGTGCTACCTAGGGAGGTGATAAGGGAGGTGGCAGCAGAGTTCTGGAGGTGTAAATGGCTTTCAGACTTTGAAAATCACTGGATGAAGTTTGTCGGTTTTGTTGAATTGGATTTTGAATAAATGTGCATTCATTGTTGTTTTGGATATTATGGTGCAATTATCTTCCTTAGTGGGTCGTGCCTACTGTTGTTCTGGATAATATTTTTCATAGGATAGGGTAGAGGCAGTGCTTTTTTTCTGGGGGTACTCAAGGGTACACAGCACTGGCACATCACCCTCCCCAATGTTCAAAGCGTGGCACTTACTGTAACAACTTCATGGCGAGTACTGGCGCGTCCCCCTCCCCCAAAAAGAGCACTGAATAGAGGGTAGTGGGGATGAGCTTATGGAACCAAGGGGGCAGCGGCTTGAAAAAGCTTGCAAACCACTGCTCTCACGAGCAGACAATACAAGGTTAGTTGGGCCGATGATCAGCTCCACAAAAAGACAGTTTCATGACACATGTGAGATCTGCAGGGCATATCTTCAGTCAACTCAAAGTTATGCCCCCCCCCCTTTTTTCAGTTATTGTACCATCAGAAAGAACGTGGGGTGGGACTCTGCTGCATTTAGAATATTGCAAACTGTTCTGGTAGTTCCTCCTTAACCACAGTTTGTTAGAAAAGGGTAAGAAATATCAGCCAGGAGTTGGAGCCTCTTACCTGCATAACCAGGGATTTCTAGTTTAGAAAGAAAAGGCCCAGGAGCTCCTTGATCCATGTTGGAGGTAGAGGGCTGTCATCTTTTTTGCCCAATGGTTGGGCTGGCATCAAGGCTCAGCATGGTCCAGCACCTGCCAGGAGGGCTTACACCCCAGCAGCAGGACCTGCCGACAAGATCCTGCTCCTCCCCTCCCCCCCCTTGCAGCCTGCTTGCTTGGTTCATCCACTTCTTACTCTTACTCTGACCCAGACTGCGGCAGTGGTGAAAGAAGGAGGGTCAGAAGATGCCCCTGGTCTGCTTGCTGACTCTGCCTGGCAAGCAAGCAAGTAGTACCAATGATGATCAGGAGGAGAAGCAGCAGCAACAACAACAACTGGTGATTACAACACCCTGAGGAGCGGTTAGGCTCACTTAGCAAAGGGGTCCATGGAAGGCATCTTGCTGACAGGCCCTCTGGAACCTGAAGTGCCTCAGCTTCTTCACACCTGGGACCCACTTTTAGTCCAAACGTTCATTGGAGGACTTGCTTCTTAATTCATTGCTTTTTAAAAACCATATATTTCCATGCAGAGGCTGTGACTGAGCTTAGGTTAAGCTGAGACCCGTCTGTGGGTTCTAATCCACCAGCTGAAAAGATCATTGGCCCAGGGCAGGCATGGGCAGACCTCATGCTTGTCAGATCTACTCAGTGATTGGTTTCCCCCCTACTAGAAACCCAAGATGTACCTTACAGTGTCAGGTGGGAAAGACTTAAAGCACATCTCCCCATGTGTCTCTGCAATAAATCCTGGGAACTATAGTTTATACACTGTGTCTGCTTCCCTCCCCCCCCCACTTTGTTCTGCTGCCACCAAACCCTATGGGGTCTTGAGGTTTACTTAGGGGGCTGGATCAGGCCCCCAGGCTGCTGGTTAGCGACCCCTGCAATAGACAGTTCTTCTAAGGAGATATGCTCAGGATTGTGCTGCCTGGTGTGTTGTGACTGCCACTAGAATGGACAAGAGATCAACGTGTGCTAACGTGCTTCCTCTGCTATCTGTGGCATCAGGCAAGTGATAGCTGTGACTGCTGGAATTTACTTTGATTATGCCAGGCTCTAAGGCTGCCTTGGAAATGTGACCCCTGGCATCAAGCTTGCTGGTTTCAGACAGAACTTCTGCCCCACCCATTCCTCAGAAACTGGAGTGGAAATAATTCAAAAGAATCCCAGAAACTGTAGTTTAAGGGTGCTTGGAATTGTAGCTCTGTGAGAAGGAAACTACAGTTCCCATGATTTTTGGGGGCGTGTGTGTGTGTGCTTTAAATATATGGTGTGGATGCAGCCAGTGAGGCAAAGGACATGTTAGTACCCTTTCCCCCCATTCCGATATACAGAAGCCAAGTGGACTAGCAGCTGATTCTCTCTTCGGTACTAGCAAAGCGAGCATCCTCCACGGCACCTAAGGGCTATTGGTTAGTTTGTGCGGCACACACAGCTCTGGGTTTCAACAGAGGGATAAAGAGGAACAGATGGGGAGGGGCTGCCTTTTCCTCATCAGAGGAGCCCTGATGGGTCTGGTCAGTGGTCCATGGAGTCCAGCCTCCTGTTCTCGGAGTGGCCAGCCAGATGTCTTGCAAATGGAACCTGAGCAAAACAGCACTCTTCCACCTGGGAATCCCAGGATTGGCATTGGGGGCTTTTACTACCTCTGACAATGGAGGTAGGACAGAGCCACCGAGGCTTTCCTCCTCCTCCTCCTCCTCCTCCTCCTCCTCCTCGCACCTGCTGTCTCAAGCAGCTGTCTAATGGTAGGGCCGGCTCTATCGCTGTCGCCATCCCCACTGCCTCAAGCCACCTCTCCCCCTCCCACAGAAGAGCCAGGCCTACCAAAGTCTTGCTCTTGTTATTTATGTTTTGCATTTCAAAGATATATTTGCTCTCATTAACATAACCGCAGGGAGACACAAGAACATTCCGGGGAGGCTATAAATAACTCAACACAGATGATTAACAACACAAGGAGGCATGAGGCCAATACACAGTCAGTTCACCAAGGAAAAGAGTGCAATCCGTGGCAGGCACCAATCCCAGGTGGCTTTTTGCCATAAGCCACCAGTTTGAGAGAACCCCTTCCTTCTCTTTCACCTTTGCAGTGCTTGCCGGAAGAGTCAAGGCAGGGAAAGAGTTGTCACCTTCGCTTGCAAACGTGGCTGGTCCTGGAGCCCAGCGTCACCCAGGAACGCTTCCAGTTGCTGGAGATCGTCTTTTTTCACAGTGTGGAAGGGTGAAGGAGCATCAGGGCCACTTTGGGTCAGAGAGGCAGGTTGGCGTCTCGCACTGTCTCGAGCGCAGCCAGTGCGTCAGCCTTTGCATAGGAACATTGGGGCTGGGCGCTCCATTCAGGTCCTCGTCTTCCCTCAGCTGCTGATTCGTTTTCAGCCCAAGAACCATACTCAGCGGGACATCATCCTGACAAACTCTGCAGGCAAGAAGGAAAGAGAAAAAGGAAAAAGAGGTCACACCCACATCATACGTTTAAAACACATTTATGTAGCAGTTCAACAGTCCCAGCTTTCCCCAATAACACTGGGAACTGTAGTGCATCCCTCACTAGGGCTGGGCAATATGTCATCCAAAATTGGTTTGAAGTCCATATTGTGATATCAGTTTCATAATTTTTGACCTGGCAATCTATCGCAAATCATGATGTGCGTGCATGCTATGCAAAAATCACAGTGTGGGGGAAACTCTGAAGCCAGCCAATGCTTCTCTTGATTCCTGCAGCCCCTGCTAATTCTGCTGGCTCAGTTCTCCCCTGCTTCCCGCAGCAGGCAGCAAACCACAAGAGCAGGCACCAGCAAAAATCACAATGCAGGAAAAACCATGAAGCCAGCCCATGCCTCTACATATCTCCACCTTTATTTCAGTCATCGTGATATATTGATATATCGCGATGTTTAGCTGGTGATAAATCAATGTTGAAAACCAGTTTTCGCCCAGCCCTATCCTTCGCAGTGCTACAATTTCCAGCACTCCTAACAAACTACAGTTCCCAGGATTCTCTGGGGGTGTCATTTGCTTTAAACTTATGGTACGGATGTGAAAATAGAGAAGGAAGGTGTGTAGAAAGTGGCCTTATACTGAGTCAGGATGCTGGTCGATTAAGGCAAGTAAGGCACTGCTCTGCTAGTCTCAGTCTGCCGACCTCAGACATTCTTCCAGCTGCCTGCCTTCTTGCAACTAAGCCAGGTGGTGGCCCTGTTTGTCAGCTTCCTCCTCCTCCTTAGTCTCAGTGTTGCCCCTTGTAGAACTCAGCAGGGGGACAAAACTAGAATTACTTAACTATTATAGGCTCTGGTGCCACCTAATGTTGGCCCTACCAGTCCCAATGGGCACCAACCACCACTGCCTACACCAGCCTCCGCCAACCTGGTACCCTCCATATATTTCAGGCTACAGCTCCCATCAGCCCCAGTCAGCACAGTGTGTGCTCTTATGAACCCCAGCATCAAATGGCCATACTAGGGTCTGATAGGAGTTGCAGTTCAAGACATCTGGACGCCATCAGGTTGGAGAAGGCAGCTGTAAAGCACTAGATGATCCGAGGGCTGTGCAGGAATAGTGATAATGAATAATCAATCACCTGCTGCTTCAAGCACTGAATATTATTCAGGACATTTTTTTTAAAAAAAATCTTTCTTTGGTCTTCACCAGCTTCCAGATAGCAGCTTCTTAGAAATGTTGACATTATGAGCTGACTCAGTTGAGATTGGTCACAGATGGATGAGAGCCAAAAAGCTAAAGGAGGTTCTGTGGAAGAACGGTTTGCCTGACCAGGGAGTGGATTTGGCCCTTTCTGTAGGGGGTTGCATGCGCCCTTAAGGATCAGGTTTACACTGTATGTGTGTTTTATTGTCAGATCCAGGCTTCCTGTTGGAGGTCCAAATGTCCATGGCATGAAACACTTTTCACAAGTTTAGGAGATCCCCAATGGGCAGAGGTCGCCTGGCCACAAATATCCAGGATGTGTTCCTCCAAGCCTCTCTTTCTGGCCCTCAGGACTCTCCCTAAGGCCCTGCTCCGCGCCATTATTGAGTGCTTTTGCCTGCCTCCAATGTTTCCTGCAAGGACAATTCCTGACGGGACGTATTGTCGGGTGAGTGCCAGGAGCAGGTCAGTAATAACTCACAGTGAAGCTGACTCTTTATTCAAAGAAACAAATAGCTCAGGAGGCCAGGCTTAACGAGCACAGCAACTCTTCCTGGTAGATCTTGCCCCAATGAGGCAGTTGTGAGGACTGAAGGCCCCTGCCATCACACAGATGCCTCAGCCTCCTCATCCCCTGGGTCCTTCTCAAGCAATTTGAGACTCAGTCAACAGGTCTGTCTCTGCTCCACCCTCTTCATGCCTCTTCTGATCCTGGGAAACTGCGGGGGGGGAGGGCAGTTGGTTGCAGTAGGAGGGCATTCCCTTGAGGTTTACCCACTGGTGCCTGCTACCACTCCTCTGAGTCCAGCTGGTTCATGACTCACGTTGGGCATGCCCTTCATTGGAACCAGGTGCAGATCTGCTACTTGTCCAGTGGGAAACCCCTCACTCACTCTCTTTTTTTTAAATTTTTTTTAATTTTCAATGCAGAATCATAACAAAAATTACAAACATTGAATCCAAAATCATACTATACAAAAAAAAGGAACATACAAAAAAAAAAAAAAGGAAAAGGAAAAAAACCAAAGAAACAAAACTAAACAAAAACGAAAAAGCACACATCTACAGAAAAAAACCATATCATTACGTACATAAACACATATTGACTTCCTTCCTTTGTTCCAAGACCTCAAAAAATTTACTCTTACTATATTGTTGTGTCTAATTAGATTACTTCCACCTTTGTCCTTTTTTTTAAACACCATTTTTCTTTTTCTTTAACCCTGTAAAGCATCATTCATTACATACCAATATACTTACTCCAGAACAATGTTTTTTCATATACTCTTTAGCACAACCCCATTCTTTTAATAATTTCTGGTCCGATTGTCCCCTTATGTGTGCTGTGAGTCTTGCCAGATTTATGTATTCACAAAATTTAATTTCCCCTCACTCACTCTCTCTCACCTTCAAAATCCACTCGTCCGTCTCCATTCAGGTCGACGTCCCTTATTATATCTTCTATGTCCCGGTGCCCCACTTGCTGCCCAAGCAGCTTCTTCATTGCTTCTCGTAGTTCATTGGTGCTGATCTCTCCATCACCGTTTGTGTCGAACTGCAGAGTAGCAACAGATGTCAGGGACTGTTAGGATGGAACTGGTCAGATTTCTCAGGACCCACCCCTCTCATCTCCACAGTTTCCAATGTCCTTTCTCACCTCTTGAGCCACTCTGGCAAGAACATCACCTGATTGAAACCAGACTGGTATCTCTGCTTTTTGCTTTAAGTTATTTATATCCTGCCTTTTGTGAAAAACACTTTAAAGGTGCATTGCAAAGGTAGGGAGGAACCTGTCCACCCCCACCCTCCCCCAGCTCCCACCAAGCTCTGCTAAATGTTCTGGATGGTGAGAAGTCTAGCAATATCTGGAGGAGGGCACAGAGGAAGATTAAAACTCACATTTGATTTACCGGTATATTAGACTGCCCACATGCAATTCAGCTTTATTAGTTGTTCCGAGATGCTTCCCCATTACAGTGGTACCTCGGGTTACAGACGCTTCAGGTTACAGATGCTTCAGGTTACAGACTCCACTAACCCAGAAATAGTAAGAACTTTGCTTCAGGATAAGAACAGAAATCGCGCAGCGGCAATGGGAGGCCCCATTAGCTAAAGTGGTGCTTCAGGTTAAGAACAGTTTCAGGTTAAGAACTGACCTCCAGAACAAATTAAGTTCCTAACCCGAGGTACCACTGTACTGCACTTTTGCCATCTGGGATGCACCCTTGCAGCATAGCACAACAAATGTGGGACAAATGCTCCCCAAACATTTGTGGTAAGGAAAGTTACAGGCTTTCAGCAGGAAGTTATAGGACATGCACTGACTGAAAGCAAAGCTATATGTGCATCCTGAAAATTTTGCAAAAGTATTGAGAGTGGGATCACACATAACTGCCCTGATGTCACCCGGAACACAAATCATGAATGCATACAAAAAAAGGAGTGTCTGGAGGGGTCCTTGGAGAAATCCATGGCTCTCCATGGCCACGAGCCGTGATGGCTACGTATGTTGGAGGCAGTGTGCTTCTGAATACCAGTGGCTGGGAATTACAAGTAACTAGGAATTACAAGAGTTCCTGCTGTGCTCGGGTCCTGCTTCTGGATTTCCAGTCAGAGTATCTAGTTGGCCACTGTGATAATAGAATGCTGGACTAGATGAGCCCCATTTGGCCTCATCCCACCTCAGGGATTTACCTTTATTCCCTGCCTGTGAGCTTCCACAAGGCATCTGATTGGCTAGTGTGGGAAGCAGGATGCCTGATCCATTTGCAGGGTACAGAGATGGGTTGTGCATATAAGGAGCTAGATGATCTTTCAGGTATCCTGATCCCAAGCTGTATACCACCTTGAACTTGTAGATCGTTTGCAACACACTGAAGGGGCTGCACAATCTGGCTCTCACCTCCCTGAAGGCATCGCGTAGCTCCTTGACCCCAATCATGTCTGCCGTCTCTGCCAGAAGCTTTGGTCCCATCAGCTCCACAAAGTCATCGAAATCTACGTGGCCACCCTCTAGGAACACAGAGCGAGGAGGGAGTACAGTAAGATACTGACCACCATTTTAAGAAGAATACAGACAAATTGCAATGGGTTCAGAGGAAGGGCAACGAAGATGGTCAGCTGTATGGAAAACAAGTCCTGTCAGGGCAAGGAGAAAGAGCCAGTTATGTTCACCCTGGAGAGGACTCAGGGGGAACATGTTTTCAAATACTGCCAAGCATCCACAGAAGGGGTCCCATTCCTGACTGTGAAAAAAGGGAATATTGCATCCACGGCCTGAACCCAACTCAGTCCTACTTAGAGTAGACCCACTGAAATGGATGGATGTGACTTACTTGGCTGTGCTGTGCCTCCATGGCCAGAGACAGTAATGCTTCTGAATACCAGTTGCTACAAATCATAGGAGGGGAGAATGCTCTTAAGCTCAGGACCTGTTTGTGGGTTTGATGTTTTAAATCAGGCATCCCCAAACTCAGCTGTTTGGGAACTGTAACTCCCATCATCCCTAGCTAACAGGACCAGTGGTCAGGGATGATGGGAACTGTAGTCCCAAAACAGCTGGAGGGCCGAGTTTGGGGGTGCCTGTTTTAAATTGTTAGAAGCTGCCAAGAGTGGCTGCTGCAACCTAGTCAGATGGGCAGCATATAAATAATAAATTGTTGTTGTTGTTACTAGCAGAACTTAGTTTGATACAACCCCAGGTCAACTTTCTACAGATTTCTTTGACAACCCTAGTTGGAATAATCCAGTCTGCAAGTTTGCCAGAGTGTGGAGTACAGCAGCCAAGCATAAGCCTAGTCTAGAAGTGGCCTGGGGAGTTGTGCTTGTGCAGAAGGGCAGCCCAAAGGGAGATGATGAAGAAGAAGAGTTTGGATTTGATATCCCGCTTTATCACTACCCTGAGGAGTCTCAAAGCAGCTAACAATCTCCTTTCCCCTTCCTTCCCCACAACAAACACTCTGTGAGGTGAATGAGGCTGAGAGACTTCAAAGAAGTGTGACTAGCCCAAGGTCACCCAGCAGCTGCATTTGGAGGAGCGGAGATGCGAACCCGGTTCACCAGATTACAAGTCCACTGCTCTTAACCACTACACCACACTGAGGAAGACATTGCCCAGAAGACTGGAAAAGCCTAACCAGGAGTGAGAGTGGCACTGTGGAGGGAGGAGGGATGCCCCCTTGGCAGGTGGCTGGCACTCACGGTTCATGTTGATCTGCTGGGAGAGCTCAATGAGTTCCATTTCCGTTGGCATGTAGCCCATGGTGCGCATGCAGTTGCCCAGGTCTCGGCAGTTGATGTAGCCATCCCTGTCCTTATCAAACTCCTTGAAGGCTTCTCTCAGTTCTGTTGAGGTGAATCCAATCAGAGAACGTGGCTGTCAGTGGAGGTGGCAAGGCATGGTCCTTACTACGAACATGGCCTGGAATGAACCCACTTTGGAAAAGAAGGGCCACAGGTCATCCGTGGCAGAGCAGTGGCTTGGCATGCAGAGAGGGCCATGTTCAACCCCCAGTGGCATCTCTAGTTAGGGCTAGAAATTTCTCCTTGGTCTGACACCCTGGAGTCAGTGTTGACAGTGTTCTCAATGTTTTCAACTAAGGGGTGATTTAAATAGGATGCTACCTTATACTGAATCAGACCTTTGGTCCATCTAGTTCAGTACAGTGGTACCTGAGGTTACAAACGCTTCGGGTTACGAACTCCGCTAACCCGTAAGTAGTTGCTCTGGGTTGCGAACTTTGCCCCAGGATGAGAACGGAAATCGTGCGCGGGCAGTGCGCTGGCAGCAGGAGGCCCCATTAGTGAAAGCAAGCCTCAGGTTAAGAATGGACCTCTGGAACAAATTAAGTTTGTAACCCGAGGTACCACTGTATCATCTACACTGATTGGCAGCAGCTCTCAAGGGTTTCAAGAGTGGAATCTTCCCCAGCCTGACCTAGAAGTGCCAGGGATTTAACCTGTGACCTTCTGCACGCCAAGCAGTTGCTCTACCACTGAGCTATTTTCCTTACCGCTGGGGTTGACTGTGCCTCAAATTAATAAGTAGGAGGAACATACCCTGTGGATTTTCTGTCACAGGCCCTGGTCCTGCATCATCTTGTTGTCTAGGTCCTCCTGCTATTGAGGCTAAGCTGTGTGAGGTGCCCACAAAATGGACCGCGCCGTATGATTTGACATGTTGCTGGCATGGAGACAGAAAGGAGTGTGTGAAAGGTCTGTGGCAACAGAGTACTTTAGCATTGCCTTCCCCAGCCGGGTGCCTTCCAGGTGTTTTGTACTCCAGCTCTCATCAGTCCCAGCCCAGTGCTACCATGTGTCTGATCCACATGGAAGGAAAGGAGAGGCCATGAGTTCCAAGCAGACAGGAAGGTGAGGCACCAAGATCAGCACCTTGGAGAGGGACATATAGGTGAGTTTCAGGAACATGGTCAGTAATCCTACAGCTGTGACACAACACACGTTGTTTCAGCAGTGTCCTGGAGCAACTAGGACAGGGGTCTGCAACCTTTAAGACAAAAAGAGCCATGTGGACCCGTTTCCGGGGAAAAAAATATTGGAGCCGCAAAACTCGTCATTATAAAAATAACTTTTTTGTCACTTTTTAAAATTATTTATTTGTTTAACCCCTCAGAATTACTCCTCCTCATAGAAATAAATGTTAAATTAACAAGTTACCTTTTTGTGTGTGTGTGTTCTTCACTCCCCTTCAAAACAGTGACCAGCATACATGCCCCCTTTCAATGCAGTGACCAGCGTACATGCCCCTTACAATGTGGCGGGCGGGCGGGAAGGTGATGTCGGGACGGTGCGTGACTAACGCACGCACCGCCCCCATGCGATGTCACAGCCAGTACAGCGCCCGCCACAGTGGGGAGTGTCGGGGCGCACAATGCGCCTCCTCCCCTCGCTAGTATCCGCCCCGGAGCAGCGGCAAAGCTGTAAAAGAGCCACATGCGGCTCCGGAGCCGCGGGTTGCAGACCCCTGAACTAGGAGATCTTTATAGCCTGTGCTAGGTATTCATTGGCCAGAAGCCTTACTTTCTGCTTCTAGGTCCTGGGGTTTCAAGCTGTGGGATATCTTCTCAGGGCTCTCCTGACGCTAGAGGAGACTTTAGACCAGGCTTCCTCAAATTTGGCCCTCCAGATGTTTTGAGAGTACAATTCCCTGACCACTGGTCCTGCTAGCTAGGGATCATGGGAGTTGTAGGCCAAAAACATTTGGAGGGCCAAGTTTGAGGACGCCTGCTTTAGACCAATCCTTGGCCCCTCCTCTCTTCTTATGGTTCTTTGAACTGGAAGTAAACTGGACAGTCCTTGAAACAGAAAGAATGCCTTCAAATACCAAGGCTGTGCTTTTCATAGTACAGTGGGGAACTTCAGGCCCAGGAGCTACATATGGCCCTCTAAACCTTTCTATCCAGCTCCTGGGACTCTCTCCCTGAACCACACACCCTCACGAGCCACACCTCTCAATGACTCCAGTTCACAGTCTCTGAGAGTGTTTTCACCTGACTGGAATGCATTTCATGGCCTGCTGCCCCAGCTAAGGAAGGCACACTTCTGATAGCTGTCTCTTTATTGACAAGTGAAGCACCTACAGCAGCTCCCCCAGTGCTCCAGATATACACATGCACCCATATTTTTAGCCTCTGGGCAGCTGTCCACAGATCTGGACCCTGCGAAGCAGTTGCAGAAATAGTGGGTCCACTCCCCTCCTTTGGCTTATATGCCCTCCTCTGATGGATTGTGTGCCCGCAAACCGAGACTTCTCCTACATGGAAGTCGTTGCTGCTCTTCCCTCTTCAAGAGCCTCTTGATTCTAGGTGGCGAGTCGACCGGCTGTTCCCTTGTCTGAATAGTTTCCTCTTCCTCTACCACATCCTGCTTGCCTTCCTCTGTCTCAGACTGCCCTGACTCTTCCTCCTCCCATGGGCTTGGCTCCTGCCTTGTGGGTGGCACCTGACCCCATTAATTCCTGGTCCCCTCTCCTGAGTTGCACTCCTAGCCCCCGGCCTTTGCCACACACTCCTGCCAGTCTCTGACAATGTGCCCTGGAACTCTTGCTAGTCTGGATGGAGAAGAGAGGTGTTTTGTTTGTTCCCCATAAAGAAATGTGAACTTTAGTCTGAAGAAGGTTCCCCACCTCTGGTGCAGTAGGATACATGGCTACCCTAGTTTAAATAAAAGCATGCACCTCCAGATGGATAGTGAGACAATGCAACTTCTTACACTTCCTCCATTTCAAGGAGGATAGGACTATCAGTGGCTACTAGGCAGGATAGCTGTGCTCTGCCTCCACAGTCAGAGGCAGTAATGATTCCAAATACAGTCGTACCTTGGAAGTCAAATGGAATCCGTCCAGAAGTCTGTTCGACTTCCAAAACGTTCAGAAACCCAAGCACAGCTTCTGATTGGCTGCAGGAAGCTCCTGCAGCCAATCGGAAGCCATGGAAACTCCATCGGACGTTTGGCTTCCCAAAGAACATTCGAAAACTGGAACACTCACTTCCGGGTTTTGATCGTTTGGGAGCCAAGGCGTTTGGGATCCAAGGTACGAGTGTTTGTAGGAATCCCAGGAGAGGAGAGGGCTCTCGTGCTCAGGTCCTGCTTGCATGTTTCCCACAGGCATCTGGTTGGCCACTGTGAGAACAGGATGCCGGACTAGATGGGCCATTGACCTGATATAACAGGCTCTTCTTATGTTCTTAAATAATTTGTGAATTATCATTCAGGTCGGTACAAAACCAGGAAGTGAGGGTGGCTGGCATCTCGTTGTTGGAAACCCCAGAAGGCCAGCAGTGCTGTTTCAGCAAAAGCAGCATATGAGCATCAGAGCTGCCCTGCAGCCGAATCAGGCTAAAGTTGTGATTCCTGCGCTGCAGGGGGTTGGACTAAATGACCCTTTGGATCCCCCTTCCAACTCTGAAGTTCTGTGATTCTGAAGGCGCATGTAGTCCAGCCTCTCACAGGGACTATTAGATGCCACTTGCAGATGCCCTGCTCCCACGCTTGTAGCCTTGTAGCTGGCATTCAGCTGGCCTGCTGCCTCTCATCTGGAGGTATCATATAGCCAGCATGCCTAGCTGTCACAGTCTTAATCCACTATGAATTTATCTACTCCATTTTTATAGGTATAAAGAAGACAATCAAGAACCTTACCATCTATTTCTTCTGGCCGTAGCTCTCTGTCCTGCAAGGGAACAACATCAGGGATTAAAGCCAGCTCCTTCAGATGAAATCAGGGTTAAGGCAGGAGCCTCTGAGCATATGTAGAGGCCAATGTCATCCCATTGGTCCATCAAAGCCAGAGTATTGTCTCCTGCAGACTTCACCAACATGGTGCCCTCCAGATGCTTTGGACTCCTCCTGGCTACAGCCATATTTTCTCCTCCAGCACAGCCATGCTTGCAGGGGCTGATGGGAATGATAGCCCAAAATATCTGGAAGGCATCAGGTTGGCCAAGTTGGTCTACTCTGACCAGCAGCAAATCTTCAAGATCCCAGGCGGGGACATAGGGTTCTTTTCTGGCCCTGGTTCCAGAGAGAGCATGTTGAGTGGAGATGTTGCCAGGAATTGACCCTGGGACCTTCTGCATGCAAAGCAGGTGCTCTGCCAGTGGCCTACTGTCTCTCTCCTAAGGCAAAAAGGCACATGGAAGAATTAAAACCCCATGACATTATCCTTCCCAGCAAGTGAACCTGAGAAAGAGCTGCCTTTTTGAAGCCTATCCCACTAGCCATGTCCTTCCACATCTCAGATTTACATCAGCTCATTAGAGATGCTCACGCCAGAGAGCCAAGATTGCCTTGTTTCCAGGAACAGAAAGTGGAAGGCAGAATTAGGCTGTTGGCCATGATGAGCTCTGCCTGGAAGAGCTGGGAGCTGCTGGTACCTCCCTCCCAGCAGCCGGCTAAACTGGGAGAAACATCTCATGCCAGTTGAGCCCCTCCCATGTTGCCCTGAGATCTCAAAAAACAAACAAACCCTGGCTGGTAGGAAAAAACTGGGGCTCTGGAAGCTGTAGGCACCATCTCAGGAAACCTAGGCAGCTGCCTTCTTCTGAGTCAGACCATTGGGTCCATTTAGTTCACAGTTATCTACCCTGACTGGCAGTGGAGAGCCACTTCTGCTCCAGGGTTCCAGACTCAGAAGTCTCCCCCAGGCCTACCTGGAGATGCTGCTGGGGATTGGACCTGGGACCATCTGCATGCAAAACAGATGCTCTACCACTAAGCTATGGCCCCATCCATTCCTCAGATGCCTAGGGCAGAAAGGCAGCTCCTGAGAGAGACTGGAGCATCTGCAGACAAAGGTAACATGAGACAATGATTCAGCCCAGGCAGGAAGTACTTGCAAGCGCCCAACATTTTGTTTTCAAGGGTAGATGGGATGGGTGGAGAAAGCTGCAGCAAGAGAAAGGAAAGCCCAGGCTGGAAATGCACTGCTGGCTGCCCAGGAAGAAGGGGCAACATCTCCAGATCTCCAGGCAATTGAGGGCAGAGGAAGGTGGGCAGACCACTCCCAGTTCTCAGTCTCTACCTCCTCGCCCCCATCAAGCTGCTCTAGGCCCACAGCAGGTTCCCACAAAAGGGTGTCCTCCATTTCCTGGGTCTCAAGCCCACAAAGCTAGTTCCCCACCGAAAGAACAGCAGGTGCTCAGAGTCTCCTTGCAGTGGGGCAAGCCCACTGGGTTGCAGAGGGGTGGGCCAGAGATAGGGCTGGGGAAATCCCTCCATTTCAGTTTCTCTCAGTTGCTCATCTGTCCATTCTGAAGTTCAGTTCTCTGCATTTCCACATCAGTTTGTGATTGTTATTTAAGAAAACAAATGCCCTAATGAAAATTCATCAGCAATTTAATGTAAATTTCTCCTAATCAACTCATTATTGTATGCAGTTTTGCCTAATGTAGCACATTTTTGCAATTCAGCATTCCCCTTACATAATGCATTTTTTAATGTTACAATATGTGCATTTTTCTGGACTCGCATAAGCATTTTTCACGTGTTGCTTAGCTGGAGAACTGCATTGCAAAATTAAGAGAGATGTTTTTCAAAGGACAGCCGTGTTTTGGTTTGTATGTTGTTTGGGAATGTGCAAATTGGGTAGGATTCACTCTCCGAGGAGAAATTAATCACATTCCTGCCCGCTCCCTAGCCAAAGCAAAGATTCCTCTCTCCTTGTTGGAGGAGGATCTCTTGAGCTGAAAATCTCCCTCACCAAGCCAGCAATTTCAAAGTGTGCCATTATCCAATTTCTCCTGCTGCTTTTATTTAGACTGATCGGAAGGGGTGGCGGCAGTAAACCTTAGTGGCAGTTTGCCCGGTTCTCTCTCTCTAAGGATTCCCCTCCCCATGACATAGGAAGGGCCAAAGTAAGGGTTATTCTCATTGACAAACCTGGAGCAATAGAGGTCCAACTTTACCCCATAAAACAGGGTTGGGGACCCTTTTTCAAACCGAGGGCCACATTCCCTACTGGGAAAGCTTCAGAGGGCCACATGCCAGTGGTGGGCAGGGCCAGAGACAACAGTGGGTGGAGCAACACTTGTAAATGTTAACTTTGTACAGTCAGCCAGTTTCTACATTCACGGCCCTCCTATGTACCCTCCTTCCAGGGAAGCAAGTGCCATGAGCAGAGATCAGTGACACATTCCAGCCAGCCAAAAACACTTTGGAGATGGGCAATGAGGGGTGTCGCCTGGGGAGAGTTCTGAGAGACAGCTAGGGATGTTGGGGGGAACATTTGACCCCTGGGCCTGAGGTTCCTCACCACTGCTGTAAGGAATCATAGATCTGTAGAGTTGGAAGGGACCCCCAGGGTCATCTAGTCCAACCCCCTGCAACACAGGTATCTCAGCTAAAGGACCCATGACAGATTGACCGATGTAATGATTCAAAGTTGGCCCTGTTGATGTGGCAAAGTGAAGTGACAGGTTTTGGATGCTACTTAGCTGGCCCTACCATTAGGACACGAGCCAGAATGAGGCAGTTGCCTCGAGCAGCTGATTTTGGGTGTCGTGAAAGGGCTGCACGTTTGCTTTATTAGCATTGCGTTTTATTGAACCACGGGTACGAGAGGAGAAGCAATTGTTGACCATTTCTCCCCCCATTCCCCACACCCCAACCATCCCGTGCTGGGAAGGAGGTGATGGGGATCTCTTGAGACCCAGGTGGCGACATGCTTTTTTTTTTGCTTTCAACCCACAGGAGGGCGAGGGCACATGATTCCACACACCCTCTGGGCTCTGCAGTGTTTGCCTTGCCCGTCCGGGTGCAACTTACGTACTGGCTGCCTGTTCTCTGCGAATCCCTTCCTGAGGAAGATACACGCCGGCCCCAGGATGTTGTGCATCACAGCGCAGTTCTGGGCCAGCACCATGAGCGGGCCTTGGTACTCCCCGGCTGTTGACCCCTCCTCGCTCGTCTGGACAGCTGTATAGCATGTCTTGTCCTCATGGTGGATCTTCTCCGCCAAACCAGCAGCAAGCAAATGATACAATAGAGGAAGTTACCTCCCGGTTCCTCCCAGGTCTGCTCCAATGCTTTCAGTGAGCAGAGAGGCCAGCCTAGCCCTCGGCTAACCTTTTGCCCATCAAGGTGTTTTGGACCACAACTCCCATCAGCCCCAGCCAGCATGGCCAGGCCGGGGCTGATGGGAGCTGTGATCAAAAACGCCATGGAGGGCACATGGTTGGCGAAGGCTAGTCCAGACTTAAGGGGAAGACAGACGTAACCATCCGAACAGAGGCTCTTTTCCTGCCACAGGAACCTGGCGTCACCATTTGCAGCGCAAGCAGAAACTGTGGACTGACTCTTTGAGCTTCCCTTGTGCTTTTAAGGAATATCGAAATGTTTTAAGTATCACATTTCCCCCCCTTCCCCACACCACCTCCACCCACCCCTAAATAACACTCTGAAACTACTGAAAACTGTAAAGCTGTTGAAAATGTACCACAGGGATTTGTGCAAGGGGAAATATGCTGGCGACATTCGGATACTAGCCAGTAGGTGCTTGGCACCTACCCCTGTCTCCTCCCCTGCAAGGACTTGCTAAGAAGTTGCAGAACCTTTCTCCCCTCCCCAGAGAGGTATATGTGTGTACAGGACAGCAAAGATGTGTATAAACCATTTCCACCTTGCTTAGTAAGTTACGTCTGTCTCCCCCACCAACTACCCCTCATCTTTCAATACATACCACTTCACACATACACACCCCTTCTGTTTGTTACAGCTCTGAGCAGCCAGGGACTAGAATTCACTTCCAGCGGCCAACAAAGGTCGTCGTCCCCCCTCCCCGCTTTGGAAATGACATCAAAAGCCCTCTGTGCACTGCAGATGTCCTTCCAGCAACAGACTAGAAAGAGGGCAGAGAAGAAGAAGGGGTTTCTCTGATCTCGTCTGCTGCCTGGACCAAAACAATTGGAGGTGAAATCATGCCTAGCCTGCAAGGCACAGGCGTAGCTCTTTGTGAGTTCAAGAGAAGGCTGATGAGAGAAGCGTCTCTTGGGGCTTCTGCTGAACATGAATTGGGCGGCCCGTACAACCTGGCAAGACACTTGGAGCAGCTGCATATTAGTAACCACAGCGCTTCCCACGTGTACCAATATAAGTTTGCTTACAATACACAGGGCAGCCTGGTATTCCCAAGGTGACGCCGCTGGAATGTCGGAACTGCATATGGAACTGAGTTCCCTGAGAACGTCGGTGGGCATTTTTTAAAAAGGGAAGGATTTCCAAAGTTGCTAGTCTCTATGAAGCCTGAGAAAGAGCAGGGTGCTGGAGAGGCCTCAGGCCCAAATTGGGCATTGGAGGGGCAGGTGCCACCCACCTGCGTCTCTCCAATCTGTGTCTACTCTCGGTGACACCTAGGAAAAGATATTGTGTGGAACACCAGCATCGCAGCTGGATTTCCCTACTCCATTTCAACAGCTGTCTGTATGCAGGAGACGTAAGGACAGACTTAAGTGGTCTGTTCAGAAGAGCCAATGAATAAACTGGTGTTCTAGTGGGGCCATAATCCCACCTTCATCTCCATGCATTCAATATACACTATTTGGTCATTTGATCAGGAGTTAGGTCTGGCCATATGGGAACAGGCACAAAATGGGCAATGGCCACAGAGGTAAGTGTCCTGCGACTCAGGTTTTTTTAAAAAGTAAGTTTCTAGTCCTTAAAGTTACCTACATGTTA